TGTTAAATATACTGAGTCAACTACCATATATAATATATATATACATATATATATAGTGGTAGGTTAAATATATATGCAATTAGACTATGCTTAACTGAAGATTTGTATGCTTCTTGTCCAATACATTAAAAAATCCTCTTTTTTAAAGATTAAAATCAGATCTCCTTAGAGTTGCATAGATTTATATTGAGTTCAATGATTAAAATTATCTACTTTGCAATCCTAGCACAAACAGTGTAGTTTTTAGAAAGGTATTTTAGTTTTTTTTACTTAACACGTTCTTTCTCTGACTATTGACCCTTCAAGAGCTTTTAATTAGATAATACATAAAAAATGGTGCATGGATTAAAGGTCAGTGGAAATCATTTACTTGTGTGCCTATGCTTCCTTCCTTCTAGTGACAAACTTACATTAGCATTTTGTACCTTTTAATTATATTTTGGATATAATGTCTTTTATCTTGGTTTTGTTTTATAGTAAAAATGGTTGATATAAAAAACTTTCTACTTATGATCAACTATGACCATTTGATTAACTTACTAGTATGATGACCAAATAATATTTTTAGTTTTATAATATTGTTCTAAGTAAAGGGGAGATATTTAGTTTTCACATAGATTAAGGATTTGTCTTTGTCCAAGTGACCTAGAGAGACTCTCTTCTTCATCCTTCTTTCTTATTTTGTGAAGTAATGAAATATTTAAATAATGGGTACTTGGCAGAGACACTTATTCCCACAGTACTTCTTGCCAAAACTAAAGAAGTGAGCTCCAAATATGAGGCAGGGGTGCTGTGTTTGTGAGCTTATAAGCCTGGTTTCCTCTGTGGCATACTTCCTAAAATCAAATAAATAAAATAAAATAAAGTAAAACCAAGCAAAACAATATAATTAGTGGAACTCCACAGGGTTGCTTGTGAAGTGAGGCAAATTTCCTCAGCTGGTGACAACTGAAAACCGACAGAGACACATCAAGAAACCATCTCGCCCTGACAGGAACCTAATCAGATAAATTGTTTTTCCAGTTTCAATATTTGTCTTGTTTTTCAAGGAAGCAAGAAAGTTAGGACAACATGACACATCGCTTGTGAGTACTAAATAGAATTAAATACCTTTAAGATACTTTCTACCAAAGTGCGTGTCAGAGAGACTAGGTCGCAAACACCACGAGTCCACTTGTCCTCCGTTCTGAAAGGAAATGTTCTGCAGAGAAAAGTACTAATTATAATCTGGGCAGTTCATGTGTGAAAACATCAAACTGTCAAAGATGCACGGCTTTTTTTTTTATTATTATTTGAAATTTGCCTCACAAGACTTAAGGAAGAACTTTGGCCAGGCTCCTCCACCTAATTGTTGCATCCAAAATTTATTAAAGAAAGAAAACAAAACCATTTGTGAGGCATCAGGACTGATGGCAATTCAGGTACAGTGAGACGAGAACGAGCTGCCGCTGCCAGATGGAGTGGATGTATTCCCATGGCACCTATTACTTGCCAAATGTTTCATAAAGCAAACACATGACCTAAAAGATCTTTGCAAGTGTGGGGTCTCCACAGGAAAAAAATGAAAAAGAAAAAAAATACACACTTGCAAAAAAATAAATTCTGTTCTTATTTAAAAGCCATTTCTTAATTCCTAACCATAAGTTGTTTTTAAAAACACACACACTTTTAATATTTTTCAGCTGTCATGCCCACTCTAGTGAGTCTACATGTGTGGGTACTCCATAAAATCTCAGTGGTGGTGGCAGATGTCCCCTTTGAAATATTTCATCTGCTGTTGGGGGGGTGGGGTAGTGTGGCTTTGGTGCCATGAACACCATTCCTTCTGAGGGCTCCGATTTGGGACAGCCTCTCGGGGGCCAAAGCAGCATTTCTGCATGTCACTCAAGCCAATGGAACTAGAAGTGGAGAAACAGATGACTATGTTAAGATGAAAAAAAAAAGAATTTTAAATAATAGCATACTTATGTGGGCCTTTAAAACAGCAAAAGAAGTGCTGCAGGAAAACGAGCCTTTGTTGTAACTAAGGCTCACAGATAGATTAGCGAAAACACATAGGTGCTATATGTAGTCACCGAATCTCTAGCATGGATGCCCTACACATGGGGGCTCTAGAGTATCCTTTCTCTGAAGTCTTTGGGAAATTTTACTGTATCCCACATTTTAGTATTTGCTCGCATATCTTGCCTTCTTCTCCTTTCCAATCGTTTACAAATTTGATGGGTTAGGACTTTTGCCCCATTTTCAATCAACCTGTATTCTCCCTTCAAGGTTATTTCTGTACTCCAGGAAAGAAAATACATAAAGAGTTGACTATTCATCACTTGGTAAATTTTAGTAATTACCTAGAGGCCTAAGTTTTTAAAGGTCATTGTCTTGCCATTAAGTAACGAACATATTTCATAAAGAGAAAGCGATATTGAGCCTATGATCATTGAGTCACCAATACCCATGTGGAATGACTTGGTATGCTAGGAGGGGCCCTATTGGGGATTAGTGTACAACTGGGGGTAATAGGGTGAGGATATATTTACTGAGCAACTGACTTTCATTTGGAGACCAACAGGAAAGTAGGAAATAACTAACACAGATAAACTAGAGACATCTTAGGAAGATGAAATAACCAGTAAAATGAGACAAATGGGAGGAGGAGTGGATGAAGATTCTGGACATGTAGTATGGGCCTAATCATGAGGATGCTTGTGGTCTGTAAGGCACATGTTGAATTTTATGCTGTATGAGAATAAGGCCATTCAAGATTTTGAGCCAGGAAACCGTATGATCACACTTGCCTCTTGATAAGACCATAATGGTTTTAGTCAGTAATGGATTAAAGAGAACAAATATTCAAATTCAAACAGGGAGGCTAGGGAAAGTCAAAATGAAAATACTTCCTTAGTCCAGGTGACAAAGGCATATCGATGAAGAGGGAGAAATGAACGTACAAGGAAGGAAAGGACTGGACAGGCTTCAGGTGTGTCTATAGTGTTAGTTCTTTGAGATTTGATGGTGACTTTGATAGGTAGCTTAAGAATAAAGGGGATTTTAAACAACATACAGGCTTCATGCTTAAGCAAGTCCATATGCCATTGTATCATTTGCAAAATGAGACAAAAAACTCAGAATAGCAGCTGCAAAAAGGTCTGATTAAAGAATAGAGTTTTATTTGTTGAGGGGGGAGATACCAACTTGAAAGAATAAACCCAGTGTAAGCAGTTAGGAAAGGGAATACAGGAGCGATATTTAGGGGTTAGGTATGTGGTTTAGTTGGTAGAGTACTTTCTCACACTCATGAAGTCCAGAGTTCAATCCTCAGGCCTGCATAAACCAGACATGGAGGCATGGACCTGTCGTCGCATCACTCAGGAAGCAGAATCAGAAGCATCAAAAGTCCAAGGTCTTTCTCAGCTACATGAGTGAGTTCGACGTGAGCCTGTTGTTTGCACTACATGCAAGTGTTTCGAAGTTAAGAACATCACCAGCATGGACATTGAGCCTATAATTCGGGTTCTTAGAGAAGCTAAATAAGAAGGAGAACCCAAAGAAAATCATATAGGCATCCTCCTGAATATTAACTTTCATCAGGCGATGAAAGGAGACAGAGACCCACATTGGAGCACCGGACTGAAATCTCAAGGTCCAAATCAGGAGCAGAAGGAGAGAGAGCACAAGCAAGGAACTCAGGACCGCGAGGGGTGCACCCACACACTGAGACAATGGGGATGTTCTATCGGGAACTCACCAAGGCCAGCTGGCCTGGGTCTGAAAAAGCCTGGGTTAAAACCGGTCTCGCTGAACACAGCGGACAAGGAGGACTACTGAGACCTCAAGAACAATGGCAACGGGTTTTTGATCCTACTGTACCTATTGGTTTCGTGGGAGCCTAGGCAGTTTGGATGCTCACCTTACTAGACCTGGATGGAGGTGGGTGGTCCTTGGACTACCCACAGGGCAGGGAACCCTGATTGCTCTTTGGGCTGAAGAGGGAGGGGGACTTGACTGGGGGAGGGGGAGGGAAAGGGGAGGCAGCGGTGGGGAAGAGACAGAAGTCTTTAATAAATAAATAAATAGATAGATAGATAAATAAATAAATAAATAAATTAAAAAAAAAGAACATCACCAGCAAATAAAAGCTCACTTAAGGAGAAAGCAATACAGTGAAGGGAAGGTAATCAAGAACAGAGCAGGAAGAATTCTAAAGAAAAGGGAGGCCATGAGACAGAGGCATGAAGGAAGATAGGGTGGAAGGAAAGCAGGGTAGTGAGCAGGAACTCAAGGGATCAGAATGAAGAAACCGCGCTACAGGTGGCCCCATAAGGAGCTGTATAATCACCAACCCAGACTTTCTAAATGTGCCCAAAGCTCTGGTAGTTTTCTCTGTTACCGATACCTGCATTACTGTGCAATATTTCTTTTTCAGTTAGCCTCCAATGAGCTAGCTCTCCTTGAAAATAGTTGCATACCTCTTTGTGAAATTGTATGGATTTCTAGAGGCCTTTCTCACATGCCAAGAAACTACATTTTGGAGTCAGATCATCTTAAACACAGACTCCAAATTTTGTGAAGAAGAATCCAGCCATATTTATGTGATATGATTAAAAATCAAATTAATGTATTGCTGCATCTGCAAATTCTTTTCATATATGTATTCAACTAACTGCAACCTTATCTGTCCAGCCATTATTCCTCTCTCTCTCTCTCTCTCTCTCTCTCTCTCTCTCTCTCTAGTCTCTAACACTTTGGGATACCAAAAATAGTAAGACAGATAGGAAAACTTTTTAAAGTGTATTTTGTTGATAACATTACTGATAATATTATATTCTATTACAATGTCCTTTACAGGGCTGTGCTAAGTGCATGGCTGTTGGGACCATAAATTGGTACAATTACTTTGGAGAAAAATGACATCATCCTCAAAACTACATAGTGATAATGTAATACTAAATTGCATATAATAGCCCAGCCCTCCAGATTTTCAAATTTAACCTATGTCTACAATTAACACTCAGATCAGGAAACAAACCCATGCTCATTCTTCATAATTTCCCTTGGGACTGTTATTTTTTTTAAATTGAGCATTCACTGACTATATGCTATAAGCAGGAGCATATGCTTGTGTGTGTGCGTGCACACATGCGCACACACACCTCCAACTGAAATTTCTGAATGCAATCTCAGCAATTATTTTAGAATCCACTCAGCCCCAAACTAGTTATAATAGTCTAAAATTTGAACAATCCGTGTATATTAATTGCCTGGAAATAAGAAATTACTCACAATGGGATATACGATAGCAGAGAACAATTGAATGAATAAACTAGCTCCAAGGACATAAGCATGAGCTAACTTTTGAAACTTACAAAGAATTCAGTGGAGAAGTGAAAATTTCAAGAGAGTAGAAATGTATACCTGTTTTGTGAAGTTAAAAGTAGTGTAATATCTAGGCGCATGCATGTGTGTAGCAAGAATGAACAAGCAAGTGCATGACAACCAAGAAATGCAACATTGCATTGAAGGCTAATTTCCTGGAAGGTAGACAGAAAGAGAGCTCAGAGAAAGGAGGGCCATTGTAATGCAATGCTACCTAACACAGCACAATACGAAGTGAGGGGGCTACTGATCACTGTGAAGGAAGGATGACTCTCATATACAGGACCTCTCTAGGAAAGCCAGCACATGGGGGTAACCTAGTTATTGGTTGCACTCCCATTCTTAAAGTGGTGGTCCATAGGTTTTGTTCTCTATTAATTAGCTGATGGGTAAGAATTAACTAGTTAACTATACAAGGGGGTCATTACTGTGTCGTGGACTGAGAATTTATGAGCGATCACTTGGGAATCCATCTGAGCTCCAAATATAAACTGTGGTTCACTAAATTAAAATGGTTACTTAGCTAGTTGTACAGGCCTTAAAAGTAATAGTTTTTCTCATGGCTGAGTAGGATGGAAGAGAACAATCATTTCTTATTATGTACTGTAGCTGAAATTGATAAAGGGGAGATAGATGTACTCTCAAGTCCCACTCCTCTCTCTTCCTCAGGATTCTCAAAGTCAGGGATTATGAGTTGAGGAATGTCATGAATGAAATAATGATTTGATTTGCACACCTGGTTCAGGATGGCCTAGCTGTTCCGGATATTCTGGACACATAGGTAGGGAATTTATTAAATACAACTAATTAGCTCCT